CAGGCCAATACAGAGACTGGTGTGTACTCTCATCCTTCCATGCCCAGACCTGTGACCCCCACACACTTCACTTAGTCTATTACTTCCATCTGAGTTTTAACATGCTTTACACCCACCCAAGTCCTCCTTCTTTGGAGATCCAACCCATGCTGTTGGATAATATTTAAGGCACCTATCAGCTCCTGTAACCCTGGACAGCATTTACCCACTCTGTTCTGACAAATAAGGCTGGGTTAGCAGTTGGCAGCTGCACTAAGACAGTCTTGAGTATGAACTTGAGTTCAACAACATGCTAACATGTGACCTTGGGCAGGCTTCTTTCCCACTCTGATGGGGAAACTCTGTAGATCAGATTGGTCTTAAATTCCCTGTGTTGTAAAGAATAACTATGAATTCTTGATCCTCGAGGCTCTACCGCCCAAGTGCTTGGATTACAGGCATGCTCTACTGTGCCTGGTTTATGTGGTTCTATGGTTGGAGCCCAAGGCTTCCCATGCTAAGTAAGCACTCTTCCAGCCGGGCTACACCACCAGTGAGTGTTCCCTCTGTGTTTTGAATGTTAAGTAAAACATTGGCTACAGACACCCTTACAGACAGAAGTTACTCGGGTACTATTGTTTGTACATGTCTGGATCTGCTCGCTGCTGCTGGGAGGTACCACATGTTCCCTGGACAGCATCAGCTGAGGATGGAGACCTGTGCGTTATCTCCCACAGTCCCTCACTCTGAGCTGTGCTTGCTTGCTGGAAGATGCCTGTGGGGTCAGTGGGGCTCAAGGAGAACTCTCCATCACCAGTGAGCCCCAGTATCACCCAGAGAGCTGGAGCAGCAGGACTTGGTGCAGAATTCCCGACTCAGAACAGGGGCCTAAAGCATACTGTATCCCAGTCAAGGCTGCTGGTGATCTCCAGGTTCCCCTGGAGAAGCTGCTCTGAACAGAAGCGACACCTCCCAGGAAGGAATACCTGCTGGGTGGAGGGGAAAGGAGCTGACTAATTCTCTCTCCGGTTTCTTAGGGTTCCACCTGCTCCCTGGGTCTTCTCTCATGGAGACCCTGAAAACACAGGTGCATTATGGTCCCCATCTCCAACCCCAGGAGGGCCTTGTTGTCTCTTCACATAGCTTGGGACCGCTCACTCCATCCTTCACTGGCCTCATATTCCTCTAGTTTGTGTCACTGGCTGGTGTGATGCTCTTGGGGCCATCTTCTTGTTTGTACAGATTCACCTCCTATGCTAAGGAGGCTCGGAAACAAGCAATGGGAGCCAGGGAGCAGCTCAGTGGAAGCCTAGCAGGCGCATGCCTAGCTAAGCGCATGCCTAGCAGGCTCCAGCCTTGTGTTAGTTTCCAGCATGGAAGGAATGTCTACTGAACGGGGATATTCACGGCTGCTCCTATGGGTGACCAAGGTGATGGGTGGGGATGTGTGGTGGGCAACTGGACAGAGGTCTACTCCAAGATGTGCTCTGGAGAATGAGGCACACGTAAGAGAAGGCTTCTCCTTACTTGTATTCAGAATTATAGAGGACATGGGAGAGCCTGGGAGTGTACCAAATGGCAGTCTCAAGTCTGCTGGTCTGAGGGCCTGACATCAAGTTAGTATCGCTAAATGTTGGAATGAATAATTAATGAAGCAGAATTTGGGCAGGCATAGAGCGAGCGGTAAGGAGCCTGGTTTGGGGTTAAAGAGGCTGGAGGCTAGTCTGCCCCTGAGAAAAGAAATCGTGTGGTTGGGAGAACATCATCTCCTAAGAGTCTCAAGGTGCAGTGAACTTGTGTGTATAGACTGCTCGGTCCAGGCTCGGGTGTGTGGGAAGCTAAGTGCTCAGGAAAGAGGATTGCCATTTTGGATAGGATGGCATCAGTGCACGGCAGGCCAAGGATGGAAGGGTGATGAGCTGGAGGGCGCTGTGAGAGGTGGAGAGGGCCGGAGAGCAGGCCGAGCTTCCCGGGGCCAACCACTCATAACCTTCACAACCTGATTAGGATGGAGTTTCGTGGGTGGGGTAGGAGTTTCCTACAGGCATGCTGGTGGGTAGGATGGATCAGCGGGTAGAGGGCTTTCTGCACCAGCCCAGTGAGCCCATGACCTTGTAAAGACATAGGTGGAGAGGCTCTGATCTCCACACATGTACCCACGCCGCACACATGTCTTCACACATCACAAAATAGAGGCGCACATCTATCCCTTCACAAAGGAGGAAAGGTGCAAACATAGGTTCTAAAAGGACAAACCTCCTTCTTCGAAATCCAGAGGCCCATTCCTTGTTCAGAGACTCGCCAGATTCCATAGAACACTTAGGTACTCAGCTCTTGCCTGCCCAACCCAGCAAGTCCCGAGCGCTCTGCAGGAAAGGGAAGGCACCCAGAGGCAGATCCAGTTTCAACGGGAAGGCAGAGAACTCAAGTCCCAGAAGACCTTCCACCCCTGCCCCGGCCTACTAAGGTTTCTGTCTGCAGCAGCAGGAAGTGCAGAGAAACCCTTCCTGTGCTGGAGGCAGGTGTCCAGACTCTCAGAAGGGTTCCTGGGGCCTGGAGCTAGGGCCAGGCCTGTCACAGAGAAGGGCATTTCGGAGTCCGCTCTGGGCCCCAGTGGTCTACCAAAGAGCAAAAGAACCCAGAAGTTCCAACCAGATTAACTCTCAAATCTACGTGGGGAAACAGCTCATTTGATAAACTACTTGCCTTGCAAGCATGAGGACCTGAGTTCAATCCCAGAGCCCACATAAAGCCTGGCATAGTGATACACACTTGTAATCACAGAGCTGGAGGAAGCAGATGAAACGGACAGACCTTGGGGCTCCCTGGCCAGTTGGCCTCCCTGAATTGGCAGGTCTCAGAGCAGTGAGAGAGCCAGTCTTGAAAAACAAGATTGTTTCTGAGGAATGACCGCTGAGGTCAACCTCTGGTCTCCACGCTCAGCTCATGTGAGCACACACACACACACACACACACACACACACACACACGTACATGCACACGTACATGCACACATACGTATACCCACACGCCTCAACACAGACATGAATACAAACACAAACATTAATATTCAAATCCCCGGGAGCAGAGGGAGGGGTCTGATACTTAAAGTCCGGGCGGTTCAGAGTGATAAAGAATTACTGCCCAGGGCCACCACTCCCTCTGCCTTCTGGGGATGTAGTGTCCAAAGCCCTGGGCAAGGCTCAACAATTGAAGAACCAAGTTCAGGTACCCAGACGACTTCAGTGTGGGTTCAGACTCCCTCTTGCTGACTGCAAAGCCAGACTCCCCTATCAGTGGATACCTGCCTTGTGCTGTGAAGGCTTGTGGCTTTGGACTCCGCTCAAGAACTTTCACTTTTTAACACCCTGAAACCCTGTCTCTGATAAGCCTGAGGAAGGAAGAGCCATAAAACAAGGACTGAAGGCAGGACAGGCCGGGTCCTGACATCTGATGTCTTCAGGATGGAGAGATACAAGTTTAAGCAGACCAGGCCTGGAAGACCTCAGCAGGCTTAGGGGAAGTCCAGTCAAACTTCATGTGACCAGCTGGGCCAGGCTGAGCTCCCAGCTGGTTATGAGGCCAATAGCCTCCCTGACGATCCCATTCCAAGGCCTCTTGCAGAAAGCCTTCCCGCCCCCTCTTCCCCCAGTGACTTCGCCTGTCCCATTCCATCTATGCAACCACCAGACACTGATTAATCATTTGCTTGCGGTCAACTCCTGTGCAAGCCCCTGGTGACACACACAGCTGTGCCCTCCATGTGCTTCTTCTGACTGATTCAGGTGGTTGCCAGGGGGACTGGGCATCTGTGTTTTTGACATCCTTTGCAGGGGAGATGGTTCAATCAGTGAAGTGTTTCCTGTGCTTGCACAAAGAACTGAGTTCGAATGCCTAGAAGGCAGGTGAATAGCTAGTGCACTCATTTACACTTGTAATGGCAGTGTTGGGGAAGTGGAGACAGGGATTCCCAGGGCTTGCTGGCCAGACAGCTTAGACAGTTGGTGAGCTCCGGGTTCAGTAAGCGATCCCACCTTTTAAAATGTGCACACCAATAAAGGAAGACACCAGCATCCACCTCTGGCTTCAACACAGACACACTACGCATAGCCGGCACAAGTGACTTGAATGGCACACCCTTTGGTCTTGGGGACATTGTGCCACCCAGCACTGCATTCATTGGGCTGTCCAGACGTTCTGAGGATCTGGCCTGCTTCTAGAAGACCCCTTTGTCCAGAAAACCTGCAGCTTCTACTACGTGCTACCTGTGTGTCCTTGTAAAACACCAGGGATCTAGAAGGCTCAGCATTCCCCCAAATAACCAGAAATAAGAACAGGGCGTCCTGACTTCCAGGAGTGGCTGGACTAGCGCACGCAGAGCCCCTAGCAAGTGCCTGAGAGATGTTGGCTTCCGATTATGTCATGGCAGCACTCTGCCGGGCAGACACACCTCCCAAGGGAATTTCGCTAACCCCTACTTCTGGAGCCTGTTTCAGAAGTGACTCTGAACACGTGTTAGACTTCTTGGTGCCCTTTACCACCCTCACCCAACCCCTCCCTGCCCGCACCAGCACACGTTGCCTGTTGACCCAAACAGCGTAAGACACAACATTCACTTTAGCTAACCATAGTGACCAAAGTTACCACTACACTCCTGCCGGCAACCGGCTCCTGGGTTTCTGTGGGCAAGACGAAGAACTTTCCAGACTAAGGCTCTGCGGGCAGAGGCGGGCACTGGGCAGACCTGCCAATTGGGTACTAGGTACTTCCTCCCCAGAAAGCCGCTGAACAAAAAACGAAGAGCACGTGGCACCCATGGTAGTCCCGGGCTGCCCGGAGGGTGGTTGACAAGTGCAACATGGACTCTGGAGCCTGCTTCCCCCTTGTCTGTGACTACCCCGCAGGGATCTTCTGCCACCAGGCTCGCGTGGCTTGGTCCTGTGGGACGAGGTTGCCCGATCAGCAGGAGCGCGCCAGGGGTCCCGGGGACAGTGCACCCGAATGTGGAGAGGGTCACTCACCTCGGCGGCCCGCCGCTTGGAGGAGCCGTGGCAGCTGCAGGTCGCCAGCAGTGGCTCGGCCCTAGACTCCTCCTCTCCTCGCGCCCCGCCCGCCGGTGGGGCCGGACCTGGCCGGGTGGTGGCCACCCGCCTGCTCTCTGCCGCTTATCCAGTAGTGCCACCCCTCCCGCCCCCAATCGCGAGCTCAAGGCTCTCGGTCCCCGCCCTGCACTGCAAGTGGAGGAAACCACCAGCCACCGTCCTCCTCCATTCCCCTAGGGAGTCTCAGAGCCGGTCTTGTTACTTCCTGGTCTGCCCACATTAAAGTGAGCAGAACCGACCCCCCACCCCCACCACACACACTAGGAGAAAGAGTGGGAAGACAGACATCGTGACCTCTGCCCGCCTCCCCCACTTGAAGAACACAAGTCCCTGTGTAGTTTATGATCAAGGTCATGGGGGTAGTTTAGGAGGCAGACTAGGGCTGCCCAGGTGAGCAGAGCCCAAGGTGACAAGTGGTGGGTTTCTTCCCTTGTCTGCAGTTAAAGCAGGAACAACAGCAAGTGTGCACAGGTTTACAACGGGAAAGGAATGTGGGGGTAGCTGTAGCTGGGTCACATTTCCATCCCTTACTCCCCTAAGAGATGACTTTTGACCTGCCCTCAGAAGTCTGCAGGTTTCAAGCCCCATTGGTTTTGTGTTGGGCGGTCATGGCTTCCTGGGAATTACTGGCTAACCTAGAATCCTACACACTTCTCTGAGTTCCAAGATGCCACCTTTCCCTGTCAAAGGTGTCCCCAGCCCTAGGACACTGCCTAATGCTACTCTCCCAACACACAACGTCCCCAGCTTTGTTGTATAGCAACACACTAGGGCACAACACAATGTTGTTTCAGACTTCTGCTGGGGGTTAACTTCACACTCAGTTACGGAAGTGAGTGTGGCTTTCCTGACTTAAGGGACATTCCTAGAGGTCAGAAGGATTATCCCATTAACTGCTGATAAGGGGTTTTGACTTTTGCAGCAGGTGGGCAGGCGGGTGAGGGACCTTGGAGGTATTTGTCTATGGGGGGGAGGGGTGCATGCACAAACGTGCTTGTATGTGTGTGAGGGCCACAGATTAAAGTGAGGTCTTTTCCTCAATTGCTTCTCCACTTTATTTTTGAACAGTGTCCCTTGAAGAACCTGGAGCTCTCAGCTAGGCTAAACAGACTGGGAACACCTGGGATGCCCTCCTGCCTCCTACCCTTGCGCTGGGATTACATGCATGCTGTGTTGGCTTTTTACAAATGGTTGCTGATGACCAGAGTTTAGATCCTCAAGCTTGTTTAGCAAGGCTTTACCAATTGAGCCACCAACTGTTTTGGAAACAGTGACTCCCTAAGTATCTCAGACTGGCCTTGAATTTGTAGCAACCTTCCGTTCCCAGGGTCACAGCAGGGATTACAGGTGTGAGACACCAAGCCTCCTTTGAAGTCACTTTGAGGAATTCAGAGAATCCTGTTTTCCAGGAAACCCCTGGGTATCAGGGAGACAAGATTTAGAGAGGGAGGAAGTACAACTGTCTGGGCCTCAAGTATGGCCCTAGACCAGCTGCTTAAATTATCAAGGGAGACCCAGTCAGATGGCTCAGTGGGTAAATGCAATTCCTGCTAACCCGAGTTCAGTCTGCAACCTACAGAGTGAAGAGTGCCGACTGCTAAGAGTTGTCCTCTGACCTCCATATGTGTACTGTTCAAGCTTGTGTACACACACAATAAATGTTTTTTTTTCCCCTTAAAGGTACAGTGGGATAAAGAAGCAGAATTCTGTGCTCTGTGGAGGGAATGCTACTCTTAGGGGGTTCCCAGAAGCCCAGAGCTCCCAAGAGCATCTTGAACTTTCTCTTGGCTAGAGGGTCCCTTCTTTGTTCTGCAATCCCTCCCCCAGCTCTTTATTCTGTCTGCCCCAGGGCCTAGAACCTTCTCTAATCTCATTCAAGGGTCCCAGGGTCAAAACATGCCCTGCAAACACATCTCAGAGCCCCTATGGCCATTCTGAAATTTCTCTATCCATTAGATTATAGTGCTGGCAAGGTGTCACACAGTGTTCCAGAGAGCGAGGCGAAGTGCCAAGGCTGGCCCCTGCCCTGGGCAGACAAGAACCAGTGTCTGGAGCTCGCTGATGGCCCTGGGAGCACTGCCCACACACAGTGCTGGATCTGGAAAGTCTGTCTAGGGAAGTTGAGGAGATGACTCAGTCAGTAAAGTACTTGCTTTGCAAGCATGAGGGCTGGAGTATGATCCCTAAGAATTTACATTAAAAAAAAAAGTCAGGCATAATGGCACAAATTCGTAATGTCAGCTCTAGGAGGCAGATTCCGGGGCTCATAAGCCAGCCTCCTTGGTAAGCTCTAGGCTAGCACGGTGAGAGACATTGCCTCAGAAAACAAGGTAGGGGCATCCTGTGGAACAACACCTCAGGCTGACCTCACGCCTCCACATGTAAGCACATACATGTACAAACACCACCACATTCTACTCCTATATAAAACAAAACAAACAACCCAAGGCTCTAGCCTACTCCCTCCTTTACCACGAGGACAAGGACACAGAGTCCTGCTCCTGACAATGATGTCCTTATTATTGCTATTACTCCGTTGGTTAGCTTTGCACTGTGAGCCACACTTTCGGGTCAAGCTCACTCCATAAGCAAACAATACACTGTCAGTTCCTTTCTTCTTGCCTGTAATCCAAAAAGAACGGGGTGGGCTGGGGAAATAGCTGGGTGAATGAGTAAAGTTTTTGATATGCAAGTATGAAGACCAGAATTTGATTCCCAAAACTTCCCCCCATACACAAACAAAGCCAGATTTAGAGGTGCACCCAGCTTCAGAGAAACAGAGACCGATAATCCTTGGGGCTCTCTGACCAGCTAAATCTAGTGATCTTCAGGCCAAGAGACTCTCAAAAAAGTTAGGCAGACGACACTTGTGGTTGACAGCTCTTGTATCTCTCTCTCTCTCTCTCTCTCTCTCTCTCTCTCTCTCTCTCTCTCACACACACACACACACACACACACACACACACACACACACACACCAGGCATGAATTCACACATGCACATAAATAAAGGGAAAGAGGGTGTGTACTTGCTTGGAGGAAGCCTGTCTAGAAGGGCTTCTGGGGTTCCCGAGAAAGGAGCCGGAGCAGCTGGGCTAAGTCCTTGCTGGGAGAGTTGTTTAGGACACCTACTCTGTTCTTCTGCCATGCCCTGCCTCCTCCCTGGCCCACAGACCCCAGCTCACCAGGTCTAGAGAATGTTGCACCGCCCTCCTTCTCCAATGAGGGGATGATGGAGCAAGCAGCCTGCTGACCCTGGGCCTTGGCAGCCATGTCCTTGTATGTTGTTCTTCTGGAGCTGGGTCCCCCAGGCTGGGTGGTTGGAGCTCACCACACCGCTTGAGCAGTGGAGAACTGTACAAGCCAAGCTCCAGGCAAGCAGGTCCCAGCCCCGCCCAGGACCTGGTGGGATGTGGAGGGTGTTGGCCAATGGCCTTGGGTCATCTGCAACCACCTGGAGTTCAAAGGTGGACAGAAAGCCTCTAGAATGTAGGTTGTGACCCCCCCACTCCCTCCCCCCACCCTGCTGTTCTCTGCTTCCTGGGACTTGGCCCTGCAAAAGGAGGGGAGAGAAGGGATGTGACATTTGAGCTGAGCTGGTAACTGCTACTTTGAGAACTCTGTGAAATGAATAGATCAGAGTTGGCTGTGGAGGCCCTTGCCTTTAATTCTAGCCCTCAGAGGCTGGAGGTAGGCAGATCTCTGTGAGTTCAAGGAAAGCCTGGTATACACAGTGAGACCTTGTCAAAATAAAACAAACCAAAAAGAATAGACCAGGCCAATGTGAAAACTCAGGTGATTGCCATCAATCCTGACAACTAGAGTTCCATCTCTGGGACCAACATGGTGGAAGGAAAGAACTGACTCCCTCAGGTTGTCCTCTGACCTCCACATATGTACCCCCACACATGCACACAATAAGTAAATAAAGGCAATGCAATATTAATGCAATAAAATTTAAAAACAAAATAATAGATCAGGCCTGTTTTTAGTTAACAGAGCAACACACCATCATAAAGCGAGATGTGGCACACGTGAGAATTGAACCAGGTTCCTCTGAACCCAGGATCACCTTTGCTCCTCCTTCTCAGGTGAAGGGCTCCAGCAGTCAGTGGCTTCCTTGCCTTTGGAGACTCTTTTAGCTCAAGGTCTAAAGTGGTGAGAGTGAGGCCTCTCAGGGTGGTGCATGCTGACTGACTGGAAGAAGATAATGCTCTCCACAGGCCCCACCCTGCTTAGGGAGATCTCAGCAACTGTCCCCAGTCTCTTAACAAGGTGGCAGCTCGTGCTTCAACTCGCCTCCCCCATTCCCCTCCCCTTTCACCATTACCCTACCCCCCCTCCACTCCTCCACCCCTACCCCAACCCATCTTGGTGAAAGCTACTTGGACAAGGTTCCACCCTGTGACAGCCTGGGGGACCTTAAAGGATCTATAACTTACGTCCAGGCAGGAATGAAGATATTCTAAAGAAACTCTCTTTAGCTATAAGACTATTGAAATAATGGACTCCTAGAAATTGGAATTTCCCCGGGCATCTTATACTGGGAGAAGAAAAAGCCCGAAGCCTGGTGGCCTTTGGGGGAACTAGTTTCCTAGAAAGAGATGTCCCACAGATCTGACACCTGTCAGATCACCTTGGCAGGAGAGTCGAAGACCAGACGACCAAGATAAGCAGGCCCACGTGGCCAGGACTACCTAGCTATACACACCTCTTGCCCGCAGTTTAAACCTAAACTGCCTGTCGGGACCTGGAAAGAGGGACTTGAAGTGGCACTGGACCTCTTTGTTCCTCTTTCCAATGTTCCTGCACTGAATAAAGCGCCTTTCTCTGCTGTGCTGTCTGACGGGCTTTTCCTGAGTAGATGCAACACACAACCTCTACTCATCCCATATCAGGAGCCCACCACAGACCAAAGTATGGACAACATCAGAGTTCAGCTTGGTGAACCAATGAATTTTATTGGGCTAAAGTTTTAGACTTTGTTCTGTTGCTGTGAAGAAACACCATGACTAAGGCATTGAATTGGGGGCTTGCTTACAGTTTCAGAGGTTTAGTT